ATACTTTTAAAACAACGTTTAAATCATTTTCACAATTGAAATGTATATGACTCACATACAAGTACTTATCTTCAATCGAATGTATACTTCTAGTCACTTGAGAACATCGTTTTTCTTCCAGAGATGAAACGTTTAAGTGATTGATGAGAAAAATCTAAGAGCTATTAGCCAGTCACTCTGGGATTGTAATCACATTTGGATCATGTGCTAAGATATCCGGAATTATTTTTAACATGCATTAATACGTGTTCTATCATGAATTTCATGCACAATTTAAAGCTGCATGGTTCCTTAATGTTGTGTAGTTATTGTGTGTGTTGTTTACTTTGCAACCTGAAGGACAAATTTCGTTTATAAACTTCATTTTGATAATTTCAGAAAAGATTTAAGTGTTCATCTTCTAAACAAAAATGTAATAAAAAGCGGCAAATTATTGCCTTTGTGGATGTTGTTGCAACATAATATTAAAGGAATTCAGATTAATATTTCGTTTCTAGTTCAAGTTAACTAAACGAAAAATGCATTTTCTCTGTTTTCTTTTACTTTTCTATGGTTTTAATGGTAAGTGCATAGCACTCTATTTATAAACAGCATGAGATAGTTTATAAGTTTCTATTTTTACTTGAAATTTATAAAATGTTAAACGAGTGCAATGTTATGTTGAACTATTATATATTTAAATTTTCTGAACTAAACAATATGGAATCATTAGATGACGATGTTTGTACGCGTGTTTAAAAACGCCGATAACTGACCACAATAACTAGCCAAAACGTTAATTTACAACTAATGAAGTGAAGATTTAGTTATACAAGTTGGTAGAACCAACAGCACTCTTAAATTATTTAGATTTAGTAATATAAGCTTACGTTTGTAGAACAAACTGCACGGCTTTAATTATTTAGAATTAGTAATATAAGTTTATTTCGGTAGAACCAACAACACGCTTTAAATATTTAGGATAAGTGATATAAGTTTATGTCGGTAGAACCAACAGCACGCTTTAAATATTTAGGATTTGTGATATAAGTTTATGTCGGTAGAACCAACAGCACGCTTTAAATATTTAGGATTAGTAATATAAGTTTATGTCGGTAGAACCAACAGCACGCTTTAAATATTTAGATTAGATTAAAAGTAATTACTAAGTGTTCTAAGCTGTTTCAAAATAAATAAAGTGAAACGCATTATATTTTAGATTATTATTATTATAAGTTGCAAATATTTTGAGATTATCGTTGAAATGGTATATTATTTGTGCTGTAATTAAATCCCACTAGTGTATAACCCTTTTGTTTTACATGATGTTTAAAATAGAAAAAGTACATTATAATTGTAACTCATTAAGTATGCATTCCAATAGCACGGATAAAACAACTGCTTTGTTTCTACATAAATATTATGTTAATTATATGATAACGAGCCGACCCGCTGCGTATCATACGCCGCTATTTAGTTGTTTTTTTTCTACTTTTCAGTAATTTATAATTTGTGAATTCGACAGTACCAATGCTGCCATTGAAAATATTTGCTTAAAAACACTACCCCCCCCCCCCACGTGAAAGCAGCCTCCTCTTAGTTACCTCCTCTAAGTTTAAAATCGTTTAAAACTAAATTATCTGCCCCTAATAGCCGTCACCAAACCCGTCTCTGTGATTGTAAAATGTAAACAGAGTGAACACCGCTCACCAGATCATGTGGGGGTGGGGTGGGGGTGGTAGTGATAGTGATAGAGAGAAAGAGAGGGGACTGCAAGGAGGCGCTTGCAGCTTGTTTAAAACGTTTTTAAAACGTTTTTCTTAACTCAGCTTCGCGTTTGTTTGTTTGTTTGGATGTTTGTTGTTAAAATTGACATCGAAAATTAGCCCACTTCTGATTGCTCTAGAGACCTGAAATTTGGCATGCATTCTACTTTCGCCTAACAATTTCAGATGCAATCATAAAAACTAGCAATTAGTGACCGTAATTAGCTTAATTTAATTACGCCCCAAGGACCATAAAATTGAGGACATGATTTCTAAAGATACCGACAAGACTTGAGGCCTATTGACACAGTTACTTCGGCCCCAATCAATGTGAGCGCGCTGGCCGTGATCGTATAGTGGTTAGTACTTCGCGTTGTGGCCGCGACAACCCAGGTTCGAATCCTGGTCGCTCAAGATTTTTAGTCCGTGTATTTATAAACACTTTTTTAAAAACCTCGTTTTTCATGTGTAGCAACGGACTAAAAAGGAGAAAATAAAATACTTAAAAAAAAAACGTTTTAAAAAACCACGTTTTTCTTGTGGACTAAAAAGTAGAAAATAACTATTTACATACATTTGATGACAAAAAACGTGGGTCGGGCAGATGGGTCGGGAAATTTGATGGTGAACGTACCCACGTTTTTTGTCATCAAATGTATGTAAATAGTTATTTTCTACTTTTTAGTCCACAAGAAAAACGTGGTTTTTTAAAACGTTTTTTTTTAAGTATTTTTATTCTTAAATCAGCTTCGCGTTTGTTTGTTTGTTTGGATGTTTGTTGTTAAAATTGACATCGAAAATTAGCCCACTTCTGATTGCTCTAGAGACCTGAAATTTGGCATGCATTCTACTTTCGCCTAACAATTTCAGATGCAATCATAAAAACTAGCAATTAGTGACCGTAATTAGCTTAATTTAATTACGCCCCAAGGACCATAAAATTGAGGACATGATTTCTAAAGATACCGACAAGACTTGAGGCCTATTGACACAATTACTTCGACCCCAATCGATGTGAGCGCGCTGGCCGTGATCGTATAGTGGTTAGTACTTCGCGTTGTGGCCGCGACAACCCAGGTTCGAATCCTGGTCGCTCAAGATTTTTAGTCCGTGTATTTATAAACACTTTTTTAAAAACCACGTTTTTCATGTGTAGCAACGGACTAAAAAGGAGAAAATAAAATACTTAAAAAAAAACTTTTTAAAAAACCACGTTTTTCTTGTGGACTAAAAAGTAGAAAATAACTATTTACATACATTTGAGGACAAAAAACGTGGGTCGGGCAGATGGGTCGGGAAATTTGATGGTGAACGTACCCACGTTTTTTGTCATCAAATGTATGTAAATAGTTATTTTCTACTTTTTAGTCCACAAGAAAAACGTGGTTTTTTAAAAAGTTTTTTTTAAGTATTTTATTTTCTAACTGATCACAGAAGAGAATTATATATATAGATAGATATTATTTTTCTGTTAAATGGCATTGTATTTTAGCAAGTTTTGTTCTAATGTCAAATAAAGTAAACTATTATGACAAGTTAAATTTTTAAAAAGTTTGTGCATATTTAAAAAAAAAAAATTCACAGCAGAAATACTTTTTACAATTGTATACTTCAGGTACTGCTGCCCAAGTACAAGCGAGGAGGCTACATGTAGCCCACACAGTGAACAGCACTAGAGACCTGAGCTGCTGGGGGCTGGTAGCTAGTCTAAATGACAGCCATCTGACCGGTACCCCACTTGTCCCTGGTAAACTGGGCAAGGGAGAGAAGCAGAACATTACGACACTAAGATGTGAACACGCTGGGGAGATAAGCTGTGATTATCCAGATGGGAAGGGGAAGCTCGTGCTAGAGTTATCGGTCATTATGTGTAAGAAAATTGTAAATATACAATTAGCATTGTATAAAGTGTAAATCCAGAGACTTAGTTTGGTAATGGTATAGACGGCATGATGGATAACCCAATGGTATTTTAAAAACTAGTTAACGTGAAAACATCTTACCTTTTAATTATTTCTCATTAACTTAATGTTACAGATTTATGCATGTTGAAATAAGATACACATGGAAAATAACAATGGATATTATTTATTGAAAAATCTCTGTTGTCCGTCAATGAAGTTAACTACAAGCGCAGTTAGGTTTTCCGAGGACGGTAGTAATGTACCATTTTTGTGAATCTACTTTACACAGTAGAGTTTATTTGTAGAGTGTATCTGTTTCTGCAACGTCGGAATATTAAGAGATTGTACGGCCATCTGAATACTCGCATTTTATTTTCCTAATTCATTTCATGTATTAATTACAATTGGATAGACACGGGACTAATAATAAATACATACCTTGCTATATTTATTAATATTTTTTTTCTATTTATTATTATTACTAAACATTATACAATGTAATAAAAATCAAAACAAACTCCTGTAATAGTAAGCATTAACTGATTATATGAAAAATAATGGAATTAATTATTATTCTACTCATAACAAAGCAACAATAATTATATGACTAAAAATGCGGTAAGCTGATAGACCTACGATTGTAGATAGGCTTTTCCTTTGCAGAACAATATTAATATTATCAACGTTTAGATGAGAGCAGATGAGGCTCGATAGCAAGGGACAGCCAATCTTCTAGGAGAGACAACTCCAAAATCAAACTGCTGCCTTGTAGTTTGTTCTTTGTTGGACAAAGGCTATGGAAGCAAATCCAAAAAGAAAAGCAGGCTGAAATCGGAGTCAATGGCCTCAATGGCGCATAACCAGTTGACACGTATCCTTAATTGTGTTGGAGGGGTTCTCTTCCAACACTAAAATTATGAACGAAGAAGAAGAAGAAAGATCAACGTTTAGACATATTTCGTAACATTTGTATTATTAACTTTGGATATATTTTCCAAACACTATGTAGGTAATACCTTTCAACCGGCTTTTAGTCTGTTAAATGTGTATATATATTGCGAGTGGTTATATGATATATTATCAACGTTATTTACATTCTTTAACTGATAACAATCTAAGATAATTGTTCCTATTGTATTTTTGCTCTAAAGTGTTATCATGTGTTCATTTACGATTCCCAACACAGGCCCTCCACGCATATGCCCCAACACTGAAACTCAAAAAATAAACATCGGTGACAACGTTACATTCATCTTTTGTGTCTTCACCCCAACACCCAAAGTCGGCGTCCCACTGATGGTGTCTTACGAGGGGAAGTGGTATAAACAGGGTCATTGTGAGACCAGATTCTGTTTAGACTGGGACAACAGGACCATATTTGAGTACACTGTAACGCTCACGTTGATGGATGTGACGACGCGTGACTTGAGGCCGATCACCATCAAACTGGGATCAAACTACGACTACTACAATAATTATATCAATCATACGCTTGAGTCCATCAGTACTAGTAAGTTTGATGATATCAAGTTTTAAATAAAGTAACCTTGATTCAAGCGTGTTGGACATTTGTATTAGCTGCTTGTATTTTAAAATTATAGAGCACACACTGTCACTCTCAACCATTCACACACACACACACATTCACACTCAAACCCTTAAAGGTACACACACGTAAATTAATACACACTAACTCACATACTCACGTATTGACGCATACACTCAAAACGTACACATACGCACAAACACACAGACACAAAAAAATACACACACTTATTTATATACTAACAGGTATATATATATATATATATATATATATATATATATATATATATATATATATATGTATGTATATATGGCTGTATAGGTGTATATAAACTTAACATTTTAGCGATCGTATCTAATCTCAGTGCAATGATAGTTTTCCCATTTCACCAGATGAGACAAGGTTTTCTGACGTCCGTGTCCAACACGTTATTCTGATGAGTGTTGTTCCTTCTTCGATCCTGATAGTACTCACAGCAACCGTTCTCATAGTCTACAAACATAGAGGTAAATTAGCTACACGCTACAACTACCATTTATAGAATAATTAAAATAATTTTTTACTAAAATGTTAATAATATTGCATATATTTAGCTAATTAAAATAAAAATACAATGCACTTCATTTAAATGAATTCTTTGAACAGACACCGAACTATATAGGCCCTACTTTGTATTTTGAAAAAAATGGTATTCTTTATTTTTATTTTTTATAGACATTTATCTATCATACTATAGGATTATTAAATAACCAATAACGTCGTTATGTGTGGACACTATTGAACTTTTTTCTCCAAGACTTGTAATTTACTATTCATGGAGCAATTTTACAATTGTAAATTAAGTGATCTAGCATTGTATTTACTATATTACAACCATCCAAAGAAAATAATGTAGAAACATCGTGTTTGAAAGACTAATTAACGAGAACACTAAAATATGTTTACACGATTTCATATTTCTTATTTTAGGGGGTTCTGTTAAAACCCGAAATGAACCAACATCAACTAGGTAACTATTTAATATATTACCTACATTCATCACGCCAATATGTTAAGTGCATGCATACAATATAATATAGATGTCGATATTTGGGTATTTTTATTATCGACTACATAATGCTTCTTTTTATTTTTTTCAGTCTTCGAGGCTGGTCTTGGTACATGAGAGATCTACTAGATAAAAGTAGGATGTGTTGTGTTAAATATAATACAGAGCATTCTTTAAAAGAGTAATATATTTAACTGTAAATAAATACACGCACAAACACATATACATGTATATATATATATATATATATATATATATATATATATATATATATATATATATATATATATATATATATATATATATATATATATATATATATATATATATATATATATATATATATATATATATATATATATATATATATATATATATATATGTTACGGTCAAAGCCCGAAGTCGGCCAATCCTAGCATTTGCCAATTTGCCTCCCATAGGTCGGTCAAAGTCCGAAACTTTGCTTGATTTCGGCCTTTGGCCGGCCAGTCCGAGGACTGGCCATGGTGGACCGGCCAAAGTCTTAATTAGAAGATCATCTGGCTAGGGACGGCCGGCCAAAGACCGCATTAGAAGATCATGAGCAGATTTTTTTTTTTTTTTTATGCCGTAAGGATCATGAAATTAGGTCTTTATTGATTATTCATTAAAGTAAAGACAGAAACATTCAAATTTTTTATTGTACTATAGTCTCAATCTATTAATATCATCATTTGTTACAACAAGTTGAACTTTTATGGCATTTAGAATTACATAGCAGCGTGTTATTTTTACACTTGCAGTTATTTGTTGTGCACTTAGTTCTGCAATTGCAGCGAGTGTAGCCTTGGCCCCCAGTCAATGATTGTGAAGATGCGATGGTTCGTAGTGATTTTTCCTCAGTGCCAACTGACCACAATAAGAGCAGTTTTTCGTGAAGAATTGAAAACTCACTTCTAGCATACAGTTGTTTTAGAACACATTGTTCCGTTCCTAATTTGTAGAAACCGCCCTCGACGCTTATGATAACTGCAATCACGCTTCGGGGATCACCGTGACCTCTGTCAACATCTGGAAAACGGATGCGTACATTGTCACCCACTTCACCATCTTTAAATTTTGTATTTGATGTTTTAAGCATCTTAGCACCTTGAGTTTGCAAGCCAGTATGAGCTGCTGATCTGTGTTCCATGATGTCTTGTTTGTTGTGACACAATCTGCAGGTAATGTTCCCTCCGTACCCTTCGTCTGCTTCATTGGGTATTCAACAAATAGCATGGACATCGTTGCCACTGGATCCAAAAGAATGAGCTGCACTACAATGTTTTTCACAAACTACATAGAATCTGTTGGCCACATTATTGTCACGCAACTGGTCTGGACGTTCCGCCACGGCAGTAGATGTGTTAGCTGAGGATGTCGTTGCATTTATGGCAACCTCCATTTCTTGTTCAATGTTCTCAAGATCTTCCTCAGTAACTATTTTATCGAGAGCCCATAAATGGAAACTAACATGGATTTACATTTTTTTCTTTTGACAGCAATCTGCTATGTCTGTTTCATGGTCTGACGGCCCTTTTGATCCATGTCGCCTTGCATATAGAATGATATACAAAAAAGAGCTATATAATACGTTACTCTCAATGAAAACGCACCCATAATAATGAAAATGCGATTACAACTTAGTCTAGATAGAACATTGGCCAGGACATCCAGGCCAGTGCGCGCATCGGCCGGCCAATGTACACAATACGCTGTCAAGTTTAAGCGCTTCGGACTTTGGCCAGTACGTCCCGGCCAGTGCGCGCATTGGCCGGCCAATGTACGAAATACGATCTTGGTGCTAAGTTCTTCGGGCTTTGGCCAAGAGAGCCGGCCAATGCGCGCATTGGCCGGCCAATCCGCGCTTTTGCCGCACTTCGGGCTTTGACCGTAACATATATATCTAATATATAAAGCTCAGTTCTGTAACGTGTGGCAAAAAAGTTTGTCGTTGACAGTTCTATGGATTTAAGTGTTAGATTTTTTATCGTGCTCATAGTCTAAATTTACGAGTCAAAAAATTACCATTGAAAGTCTTTAAAAACAATTTTCATTCTATTTACTTAGAAGAATAATTTTCAATTATGAACGCGACATAAAATTTTTAAAAAGTGTATCGACGTTTATAAAATTTCTAAAATTGTGTCGGAAATGTATTGACTGCACAGTTACTTCCCTTTAATAAACAAAATTCTTAAGAAGAAAGAATTTACATTTTATTACTTTGTTTTTGGTGTAAAGAAAAAAAAAATTACATAATTAGCGGGGATTGATTAAGTGCAATGTCGTTAGGTATTTTTAACACTGCCTTTTATTTATTCTATACACTGAACATACTGTTCAATATTTTTTTTTTAAATCAATAACATTTAATAAGCCAGGTCCTACAAATCCTATATGTTTATTTCTTTCCATTTACGGATAAGCTTGGAGTATTATCATTTTTGTTCACTAAATTGAAACAGGCGCGTCCGCCGGCGCCCTTGCACGGTTCGATTTGGCACCCTGGGCTATCATGTGAGCGCTATGCTGCATAGTTTTGTTTTTAAGAGTGCGATAGACTATGGGTAAGAAAGTTTACTATAGTCTTTAAGTGAATCAAATCCGGGCGTCCTCCGGCAGCCCGACAGGGTGCTATTTGGCGCCCCGGGCCTTCCGGTGTACGCTATGGTATATACGTTCGCGTGAGTTCAAAAGACTATGAATAAGTTATGTACTATAGTCGTTTACTAAGTTCAATCAGGCGGTGACGTCATGGTGCGTCCTCTGGCGCCCAGACAGGGTGCTATTTGGGGTCCCGGGCCTCCCGTGTTCGGTTTCGCGCCTACGTTCATTAAAGTGAGTGCAAAAGACTCTGAATAAGTTGGGGTACTATAGTCGTTTATTAAGCTGAAACAGGCGATTCCGCCCCGGGCTAGACTCTGAGCACTGTGCGTTTATGTTCGCGTTAGTGTTTTCTTTGTGTTTAGGTTGGGTTTGCGTTAGTGGTTGCGTTTTGATTTGGTTCGTTTTTGTTCTTTCTTTTTTCGTTTTCGTTTGTGTTTTATTTTCTTTGCGTTTGTATTTGTGTTTGTGGTTGGTTTTGCGTTTGTATTTGGTTTGTTTTCGTTTGTTTTTTCGTTTGTGTTTTTTTCTTTGGGTTTGTGGTTGGTTTTGCATTTGGATTTGGTTTGTTTTCGTTTGCTTTTTCGTTTGTTTTTTTCTTTGTGTTCGTATTGGTGTTTGTGGTTGTGGTTGGGTTAGTTGTTAGGTTTTTGTTTTCGTTTGTATTTGTAATTGTGTTAGCGTTATGTTTGCGTTTTGTTGTTTTGGTTTTGGTTTGGGTGTGCAATGCCGGGTTTATGATGATTACTAAACACACAGGTAATGGTCTTTAACAGAAAGGTTTTTCACAGAAGCCAGAGCAGGGCCTGGCCGGGACGGCTAGTATATATATATATATATATATATATATATATATATATATATATATATATATATATATATATATATATATATATATATATATATATATATATATTTATATATAATATACATATATATATACATATATATATATATATATATATATATATATATATATATATATATATATATATATATATATATATATATATAGGCCTATATATAAAAACACACTGATCATCATCAACACACTCTGGTTATTATTGATTTGAATTCGACCATAATTCTTGGTATAGTCTGTGCATTGAAAAAAAAAACATATTTCTTACACTTCCCTGTAGGAAGCCTAGATGAGGAACACTTCTACCAGCCTGCCTCTCATGATCCCAGACCTAGAGATGTACCGTTGAACACTCGGAACCATCCAACGCAGATCGCTCAACAGTTGAATTCACACACCTACATATCACCGAATGATGACGTGTTCAACTCACAAACCTACCTAGCACCAAATGATGTGTTTAACTCACACACCTACACAGCACCGAATGATGACGTGTTCAACTCACAAACCTACCTAGCACCGAATGATGTGTTCAACTCACAAATCTACCTAGCACCAAATGATGTGTTTAACTCACACACCTACACAGCACCGAATGATGACGTGTTCAACTCACAAACCTACCTAGCACCAAATGATGTGTTTAACTCACACACATACGCAGCACTAAATAATGATGTACTTAACTCACAAAGCTACCTAATACCCAAGGATGTAGCTTTTATCTCATACACCTACTTGACACCTTACGAGAAGCCAAAAGATGAACTGTTTTACTCACACACTAATCTGCCAAACGTGGGCGCTCCGTCGGAAGTGTTTTATGAACACGTTATCTGAATATTCTGCCATGGGTCTAAATATTCTATGAACAAGTTATCTGAACATTCTGCCATGGGTCTAAACCTTTTATGAACATGTTATCTGAACATTTTGCCATGGCTCTAAACCTTCTATGAACACGTTAACTGAACATTCTGCCATGGGTCTAAACCTTCTATGAACACGTTAACTGAACATTATGCCAGGGGTCTAAACCTTCTATGAACACATTATTTGAACATTCTGACGTGGGTCTAAACCTTCTATGAACACGTTATCTGGACATTCTGCCATGGGTCTAAACCTTCTATGAACACGTTATTTGAACATTCTGCTATGGGTCTAAATCTTCTATGAACACGTTATGTGAACATTCTGCCATGGGTCTAAACCTTCAATGAACACGTTATCTGAACATTCTGACGTGGGTCTAAACCAAGAGAACAATCTATCACACACAACTGGCTCACGTAATTGTTTTGGTCAAGAGTCACAAACTTGATTATAAAGTTAAAAAAAAACAAACATGAAAAAATATGTTTTATGCTGTTCGCTTTATTGTGCATGCTATTTGGATAAACAATTTTTGTCGATAAATTCGACTCAAAGTAATTAAAACACGCTAATTTTAAGATATGACAAGATTGAGTGGTTTAGCACAATTCTTTTTTTTTTACGATACACACATGTGATTTTATTTAAAAAAGTATCTAAATTACAATATTTTAAAAAAAATGCAACAAGTGTTTATTTTTAATAATTTTAACACTTGCTTTTACAAATGTACATATTACAAAGAAGTCAATGTATTACTTAATTCAATCGATCATCTCCTAACCTAAGTTGTCGTGAGGAACCACATTTGATTTCTTTTATTATTTAGTGCTTGCAAGATAAGATTCTAATTTTTAAAAACAGTCATACCAAACTCGCTGTGTTTACTTAATTAGGAACTCTATTTTGTTTATTTGATGTGTTGCTACATAAACACAACATATCAAATTTTAACGCGTTACCGATTGGAAAATGTTAACACGATACAGCGTGGTAAAACATTAAAACAATAAAATGTAATGCATACAAAAAATTAATGATTATAAGATATCATCAATGTAATAAAGAAATATAAATATAATGTTTATTCTCTATGCATTGCCTTGACACGAAATAGCTTAATATTATGTTTGTTTTATTTCCTATCTGCTTTGTTATTTAATAAAGTCTACTGCTTTTGAAATATTTTTTGTTTTCATTTTGTGTTTTGATAATTAAGCTCTACGCATTTTTGTAGAAAGTTACATTAAATAGCCGAAACATTGATTTCTTTTTTAAAAAAGGAGTTTGGCATTGTCGGGATTGTGAAGCTAGTAATTGCTAAAAGGAAAATTCAAGAGTTCGAACCCTCTGTTCTGAAGATGTTTAATTTTCTGGGGACTCCAAACTAAACTTGCGAATTTAATAAAATAATTTTCCCTTATTTTTTTCCACTTTTTAGTCATTTGTTCGAAATGAAGTAGATACTAAATGGGCTACGCGTAAAACTATGTTGCGTTAAAATCAGTCCAGCAGCTTGTGATCTCTAAAATAGATTTAGCTACCCCAGTGGCGTAGCAAGATCGGGTGTAACCCAGTGCTGCACTTAATAGTATCTCCCCCCCCCCAGAAGTGTAGCAACCCTTCCAGGAGACAAACTTTCAACTTTACTTTCGATTTGCACCCCCCTCCCTTAAAACTTTAGATTTGCACATCTTAAAAGACTATATAACATTCGAATTAATCACTTAATTAAGTGGAATTATCATTTTTCTCTAAATGTCACCCCCCCCCCCCAGATACGCCTCTGAGCTGCCCATGTCAGACGATTGGACATGAAATCGACCAACCGTGAGCGAAGAATTCTTCCTCGACAGCCCTCTGATCAAACGATCGCTAGCATTTTTAAAAAATCTTTTCATCTCCCTTTGTTGTAATTTAAAAAAAATTTCTAATGACTACTGCTCTATTTAATTAGATTAACAATTCAAATATTTTGCATTGTCATTTACGACCTGCCCGTGTGTCAAATATTAGATCAATCTCTCACTCTCTCAAACACACACGCACACACACACCTGAAAAACAAAATCATGCAAGGCAATGTGAAAGTAATGGTACACAATATTTAAGCAACTTAAATACTTAAAGAAAAAAAAAATTGCATTAATTATTTGAAAGGGATTGGCGATATTTTCATTCTAATACAATCAAAATAATATACACTCATGAGTATAATAGAAATAAACATTGTTTTCAGTGTGTAATATATCCAATCTTCTTTGACGCCAATTCAAACATTCATTTCGCTTTCAGTGTCTAAAAGAAATATTATGGAAGATAAACATTAGAATAGTATTTAAACGTGTATTGTACATCTTGAGAGTCTAAGTCCATTTTCTATATGTTCTAATATATGAAATATTGAACACATGCGTATTATTTTAGTACCTTTAATGTCTTCTGGAGTCTTGTTATCAGTTGAGTTATTGAACTCGACGTGGTACTACAGTAAAAAAAAATATAACGAGAGCTAGATGAAATTTACATTCACTTTATAGACCTAGTACTACATACAAACATAGTGAGAGGGATAAAATCTACAATCTGTTTATACACCTGGTACTACGTAAAGAAAATGATATAGAGATTTAATTTCGATTCATTACACCGACGTTATAGGCTACTACGGAAAATGGTATAGACATTTTATCTTACATTCATTTTAGACCTACGATTGCTACAATGTACATTATATTTTATTTAACTAAATACTTGGTTTTAAATCTAAGGCATAAGTTTGTTCACTTTCATCATCCACAATGCCATAAGTCCAGTGTTTAAAGCATAACAAACATTAATCAGTCTAATAAACAAGGTTACCACGATGGAAAACGAGGTTTTGGATTGGCGATTTCTTGAAACATCTTAACGTATAATAACAAACTAAATGATGAATACAATATTTCTGACCTAGTTATGTTAGAATCAGTGTTTCTTCCGGGATAGGGGGCACTTGATATTTTCGGAAGGTGGTGGGGGGAAGAGGGGGTAGGACTAAAATGTTCTGGGGTGGGCGCTGGTAAAAGTATATTATGTCTATTTTAATTCCATTTCGTTCGAGGTTGCGGGTTGGGGATGAGGTAAACTTTCTTCGGGGAGAGGGATGGGCGTTGACGGAGATGCTTGGAGGAAATTATGGTTAGAATGGCGGAAAAAACAACTTATCAACCATTATTTAAGTAAGTCTTAGCAAACAAGGGGGGCTAATCTAGCACTAGCATCTAGCACAAGCACAATATTAAAGTTGTAAACATAATATCGTTACAGTAATGAAAGTTATCGAGCAAAACTCACACTAATTGGAGGAAATTATGGTTCCAATGGCGGAAAAAAAAACAACTTATCAACCATTATTTCTGTTTAGAAAGTCTTAGCAACCAAGAGGGGCTTATCTAGCACACTGCACAATATTAATGTCATAAACATAATATCATTAAGTAATGAACGTTATCGAGTCATACTCACTATTATGTTTTCTGACTCACGTACCATCTTCTGACCAGTGACAAGAGAGGGGGTCAAACGTCTGGGTGGTAAAGACATCATCCAACCCCACACCTGACAAACATCAGCATTACGTTTGAATGACATGAGTGATACACTAAACTACACAATACGTGTTTAGGAAAAACATGCTTCTTGGTGAGTTACTTTGTTTATTTTCAACTGAACTAAAATATTAACTGCACTGCAAATAGTGTATTGGTATATAAAAATCGAGTAAATACGACATATTTAGATAAGCGTAGCGCAAATGGAGCTGACGTTTGTTATTGTAAAAGAGGAATTAAAAAATAAGCTAGTAAACACATTTTTAAAAGGAAAGTAATCAGGCAGGGACGGCGTGGCCTAGCGGTGTAGAGCTAGAATGTCTGGAGTTCGAATCCGGCATCATGTTAGCAGAACGTCCTTGAGTCAAAATAACTCACGCTAGAGAAAAGAAAGTGCTTACATAGTGCTTACCACACCATCCCCTCACATGCTGATGTTTCTGAAACAGGTGACCTCTGCTTCATTAAACACATGTTTATTAGGCACAATTATTTTAAATGTAATATGTGATAGAATAATGAAGGAATACCTGCTTGTTCATGAAGCAATACAAGACAACAACTGAAATCCCCTGAGCAGCGTTACAAAGAGCAAACATGTACTGGAACACGGCCGTCGTGTTGCTAATGGCAAGATTTCCAAACAAGAAAGTGACACTAACTACTGAGGTTAGCACTAGGACCTGTCTAGCATCCGACCTGTGTGGACGAAATGTATGGTAAATATACAGAGATTCATTTTTTAGATGTGAAAAATAATTGTCTAAAATGAATAAATACACCACAATTCTAATGAATTGCGAAGTGTTGTATATGTATTTCAAGTATCTTAAATACTAATGTTTTAAGTTTCAAAAAAATGTAATTGCTTGTTTTAAGATAATATCAGAAAAAGAATTTAAAATTACTATTAATATAAAAATGTGTATAACTCATTAACATCATTTTAAAACTGAATGAAATAGACATAAGATAAATGTTACTTTAATTATTTTAATTAAGTTAATATAGAATCGTAATATAATAATTGTAATCTAACATGTAATACACATTAAATTACTTTGTTTTCATCTCTAGCGCTGCATCCATTATCCCTTGAGAATTTCTTACAAGTCTCATAACATTCAGTGTAATTGTGAAGGTTGCCTGTTTAAAAAAAAAAAACAGTAAATGTATTTGAATTCATAAATACGTTAACATTAGATCAACTCATAATTTATATTTGTACTGTATCTACAGATTGTGTAGTTGTGTGGCGTTGTGTGAGTATATAATAGAAACTATCTCTATTTGGTGATCGAGTACTATGTAGAAGCTTAGAAAACAAAGCATAATACACGTTACCAAGGTAACCAGAATCGCCTGAGCAGCAAAAGCTTGGATGGCGCCATTTGAGCTAGTCAGCCAACATCTAAAGACACAAACACACATCTATCAGGTTATACTAGTTAAGAGGAATATAGATACATAATATGGTATACAAAGGTTGGTGTTCCATTCTGATGGCCTGGGTTATAATTTTTCAATGCCAGTGTCTTATTATTAAGGTGGTGTGGCCAAGCGGTAGAGTACAAGACAGCTAACACAAAAGTATCGAGTTCAAATCCGAGTTCATGTTAATAGAACCTGCGTTCACCTCACGTTTGGGAAAGATTTATGTTGTTGTATTTTGTATGGTTGTAAAGGCATATTATTAAAGCTGGTCTAATATGTATGGCCACCACTCACAAAATGTATGTAGGCGTAACTGTTTGAATGAATTATATGCAAACAATGTTGACCGTACATAGAGCATTCGTTTAACGAGGGCATAGACACGGATGGACACGCCTTTACTCGTTATTACTACTGATCTGTAATTAAATACAGTAAGCGTGTAATTATTATCTGGCAAAATGAACCACATGCATTGGACATTATAAAACGATATTTCATTCAGACTCCTAGGAATCTTATTCAAAGATCACATAACCGATGAAGAAGTCCTGGATATTATTAATGGAGCGGTTTATTCCCTTTTAAAGTCTACTAAGCATAATTTAAAAAAAAAAACAACATTGAGCTGGTATGGGCAAACCACACGATCAAACACAATATATACATTTTATTGAAAAAGGGGAAGACAAAAATATCATTTGATACATTACATCAAGAATTTAACGTGGCTGGCCATCTAAAAACTAATCAGACAGACAGAGAACAAATATGGTTGACGTAGAATTATAAGTCGTGGTGTCCCAACGACCCTATTAAGGTTAAACTATCATGCTAATGAAAGACAATTAAAATATATTTTATACCCGGGACTTTTAAAATCATAAATAAAATCAACATTTGGACAACTCTATATAGACTTACACATCCGTGTTGCCGTATCCTATAGTTATGGTGGCTGCTAGTGATATAACAACAATAACAAACGGCACACCTGCGAAATACATGTGATTATGTTGTTTTTTTTTAAAGTAAACTTTATTTATAGCACATGAAGTTGACTTATTGACTTAATGAAAAAATTATTAATTGGTGGTACACAATACAACAA